CACTTTGCACACAGACTATCCAAAACAAATATGTGATATATTCACCAACATCTCTTTTTTTAGTTTATTAAAAATACTTCACTAAAAGTTAGTTTTGTTTGTTTGGAATTAAGCACAAAGCTACACAATGGGCTATATGTGCTCTGCCCACCACGTGTATCGAAACCCGGTTTCTAGTGTTGTAAGTCCGCAGACATACCTCTGTGACATTGGGGGGCTTAAAAGTTAGTAGTATCAAATCTATAGAGACTTCAAATGAGTACAAAGAGGTCACGTGTTCGGTCAAATCGACTGAGACTATGTTGAGAAAGTTAATACGTACAGCAAGGCAGAATGTTGTACAGTTATGATTTCTCACGATTATTTTATATCACATGAAGTGACCCATTTGTTTAGAACTAAACAAAACAACTACACTGATGACACTGACAAAAATATTCCTTCATAATATATTTTTAACCCAATGAAGTAACTTTCCTTATTATTCATCTCTGCCCTTAATGTAAATGAACTTTTATTTGAATATGTAGGAAGAACAAATTACAACTTACCCGTCTCATGATTGCAATGGCTTCGAGAGAGAGGAACCGTGGGTATCTTACTTCGTCATTGACAATGCTATCAAAGACTTCTTCTTCATCATCACCAGGAAACGGTGACTAAATATGTTTAATGTCATAGCCAATTAAGAAAAGTTTAGAAACATTTTATCTTCTTAATAAAATCAGTCAATGGAAGTGAAAATACCTACAGAAAATAATTCTTTAAATTTTTCCAGTAACTCCTTCCTCCATCCAGTGTACATAATGAAAACATACAATAGTAATAATTATGTTTCTGTGTCACATGTTAGTAAACAAAATAAAACTATAACTTCACTGCCTAATTATCACATGAGCTTTTTATTAATGCACCGGGTATGGACTGAAGTTTTATTTTATTCTATTCAAAATCCCTTGATTTTGTATTTAATGCAATTTTACCTTATAAAATTTTAATGATTTAAAACTTTTATTGGAGTTTTAGTAATTAACGTTTTAAAGAGCAACTGGGTATAGAAACAGCAGATAAAATGAATACTACTTGGAACCATATGTATTTGCAATGATGGTTCAGGCAGAATGCCCTTTCTTAGGTGCATTAAACCCTCAAAAACTAGAAAAGAGCTGAAAGTTTGATCCCATTACATAACAAACATTAGAATGAAGTTTTGGAGAAAAGATTTAACAACTGATGTAAAAAAAATTAAATGATGATATAATAAATGAATGAATACAAATATAATATAATCAAATGTTAACACAGATATATATATATATTTGTAAGTTACATTATAGTTGAAAAGCTGCAATACAACAATACGAGGAAGCAATACATAAACAACTTTTTTAAAGATATTCTCCTGTTGTTATATTTCATGCAAAGCTGCACACAACTGACTATCTTCAATTCCCCTTTGTCCATCAAGGGGAATTGAATCTCCAATTTTAGTGTTTTAATCTGTAAACTTACAGCTGATTCATCAGGTGGACTTTTCAAAACACATATTCCCTTTGTTATTCTTTAATAAATATTGTTTAAATTTTAATTAAACTTAGAAAAAGGTAAAACAATCGACTACTCATTGTTTTATAAGTGTTACAATTCACATTTGAAACTTTAAATATATTTAGATGCAAGATATTTTTACGAATCCTGATATTGCTAGATAAATAATTACTGTATAATTCAAAAAATGGATAATAAAAATAAATCATCAGGCATTATCATACAGTTTTTTAATAGGTACTTCTACAAAATTCTTTAAACTCAAATAAACCATTTTTAACTCAAGTTTGAATCTAGTGCATGTATATCAAATTTCATACACACACACACCCTTATCACATTTTCTTAGTACACATATTATCAATTTTTATCACTTTGTATGTCAATTGAAATATCACCTTTGTTACTTCTAACTACTTTCTGAAAGTACTGACACCGACAGTTAAAATAATACACAGCTGTATAACTCTTTCAAAGAGTTTAAGACTTCAGTTCTATTATGATAGCTGATACATTTAGGCATGAAAATAAAACACGAAGATGTATTTTTTTTAAAACTGTACCTCCTCCACACCACAATTATCAGTCTTTATATATAAAAGTTAACTGTTTTAGTGACATAGTTGCATGGTAAAAGATATATTAGCATAAGCATACAACTTCAGAGGAAAGACTAAAATTCTACCTATGTTGTATATTTATATTACTCGATAACTATGGCAAAAAATTTATCACCACCAAAAGTATTTTATAAAAAAATGGATTTCTTATTATTTTTAATTATCAAATGAATGCTAATGATGACCTTTTAAACTTGTAATGGTACTTTTACAGTTTAACCATTACCATATAAGCTATAAAAAGGTCATTCTTATAAGAATACCCGATTGATATTTAAATATTTTTACCAATACAAATACTCAACTTGTGACTATTCTATCTACGAGACAAAATCAACACACCTCTCCAACTAACATCTCAAAGATCAAGACTCCAAGACCCCACCAGTCAACAGCACGTGTGTAGGATGTTTCTGTTAAAACTTCGGGAGCAAGAAACTCTGGAGTTCCACAGAATGTACCGGTACGATCTCCATATCCCATTCCTTCCTTACAGAGGCCAAAATCAGCAATTTTTACATATCCTTCTGTATCTAAAAGCAGGTTGTCCAGCTTAAGATCCCTGTTTGAAGCCAAAAAAAAAATATTTAATGCTTAGATAGAAATGAACTCTTTACACAAGTAACACTTATCTATCATCTATTGTAAAAAGACAATCAATTTCTACAAAGATCTGTTAACACTGTGAACATATCATAAATTATTGTACTGACCAAGTACAGATTCCATTCAATTTGTTACCATATTTTCAACTAGATACAAACAAACAAGACAATGATATTTGGCTAACATTAACCATTACTATCATCAATCTATAAATTTTAATATTACATCAACAGTATATTTTTTCATGATTCAGTAGGGTGGCAAAAACATAATGAATAAGAAATTAAAATGAAAGAAACTAATGGAAAACCTAAACACACTCACACATAAAATAGTTAGGTAAAATTCTGTATAAATTAGTAAATTTCAGTATTTAAAGTATAATAATGACTTAACTTCACCTGTAAATTATTTTGTTTTCATGAAGGTACTGGAGACCCAGAACAACACAGGCTGCATAGAAAACTGCACGAGGTTCCGGAAAAATATCAGTGTGAATATGCATCATCAGGTCTCCTCCACAGGCATATTCCATCACAAAACAAACATGTGACTATTTGAAAGAATTTCAATGTTGTATTTATAAATTTTTAACATCAGAAAATAAGCACAGATTTTTTTCTTACTGACATTAATAAAATACTACAGAAATCTATTGAAATTTGAAAATGTTATTTCAAACAGGTTTAAAACAAAAACAATCATAGGTATCTTTCAGAACAGTGTTAACAAATGCATCAGTAAACACAGATGAGCCACTAGTAATATGGACTAACAAACTAATAACAAGTAAAAATATTACTACTTAATTCTTCAGATTAAAATCAAAGATTAAGAGCAGAAGAAAATAATTATACGTTAACATCTGGTAAGAATGTATAAAACATTACTTTTCTGAATACCATTAAAATACTTTGAACTATTGTAGTTCAACAGACATTGTGTATGTACTATTCAAAGGATTTTGAAGCATCATTAAAGTCCAGGATGCCACATCTGGTTACTCTCTCCAACATGTGTGTATCTTGACGAGGGTCCTACAGTGTAGTTATCATTGCAAAAGTCCCAGTCATAAGGCTATTATGTCCAAAGCACACCAATGATGCTTTCTGTAATCTTTATAGTGTACAAGAATGACTGACAACAACTCATTTTAACAGAAATCCATAGGCCCTGCATCAGGTCACTTCACTGGTATGTCTTTGTAGAGAATAGCATGAATACCAATTTCATTCTCTAGCTGCTTGAAGTATGACAGTTGAACAAATATGTAGTGGAAGCAACTTGTGTACATGTGACTTGTGTCACTTTTTCCCATGGATATCTTTCTTGATTATGTTTTATACACTTGCAGAGAACAAAAGGAACATCATTGCTACAGACCCTTATGTTTGTAGACTCTCACCTATTGCAAGACACTGCACTTTACTCACCATTGCTTCAGTATGACTTATTGCATGTCTCTTCACTGATGATCTTAGTGCCTAAAGTTTATTTATATTCTTTGTTTTTTCAATTTCATTAAGTATAAGGGATATCCCTGTCTTGGAAATTCTAAATCTGCATCGTTTTATGTGCCTTTCATCAGGACAGAGGTGTTTGTCAAGGCCCATGTAGCCCAAAGGCTTTGCTTAAGCTAATTCTTAAATATGGAGAGACGGGATTTGTGATCAATGTGCCACTAATATGTGTTATATGTATGTTATTTTAAAATTATTTTGAATATGGAAAATTGGCAAGTCATTTGACAACCACAGCTGATTAAAGTCATGCATGGTGTAACTGTATGTATCAGAACTACAGTTTGGTTTGGTATGGCATGGAATGGAATTTTGAGAAATTGGTTGCTTTTGTGAAGGATATACAACAGCACTTTCAATGCAGATATTCAGACACTTGTATCATAACCTAATATAAAGATGTGTTCAGATACTTTATATTCCCTGCTATAGAAATACTTAACAAGGCTGTAGGCAAACTGACACATCTGACAGCTCACATATAGAGGAAAAAACATCAGAGACGACTGCATTTCCCATAAACTTAGGAGTTTACACACATAATTCCTCTAACATGTGTTATAGTCTGGGAGTTATAAGCAACAGATTGCGTGAAGTAACTTTAATGTCTTTCATGTAATTTATGTTTTACAATATTTCTGATTACATATCAATTACATTTAAATTTTATGTAATAAGATATCTTGAGTTATTTTGCATCAAAATAAACACCAAGAAAATATGAGCAAAAATTTAAAACTAATTTGGCATCTTTATTAACAATGTGCAACAATTTCAATTTCACTGGAGTAATATTTAGTTCAACTAGTAATATTTGTAATGATCAAATAAAGTAAGCTTTAAAATATGATTTCACAGAAGTACAAAATACATAGAAAAAAACTACTATGGCCCTATGACAGTCAGCTATCAGTGCAGTAACTAGTGATTTATAGATACTCAAACTAGAAAATAAAACACACAGTTTACATACCGAAGTCTGAAAACAAGCAAAAAGATTCACTAGAAAAGGATGACGAATGTTATTAGCAACTTCAAATATTCTTTTTTCTGCCATCAGACTTTCAACTTCATCCCGAGCAATGATATCTCCTTTCTTCAGAGCTTTTATGGCAAAATACTCTCCAGTGTTCTTGTACTTACTCAGGATCACCTAAAAAATAACTAACAGACTTCAAATAACTGCATAGTAATTAAAAAGTACTGGTGTGTGTATATTATATATATTTATACTAGCCTTGCCCAACTCATCAAAAAATGATGGGTTGGAGTTTTGTAAAGATCCCTTACAGAACATATTATTCTAATTATATCGCATAACCTAAAATTACAGTATAAATGCTGAAAGAAGATGAAGCATCCAAAAACAATAAGCCTAAAAATTAATTTAAAGTACCATCATTAGTTAAGATTAATGCAATACATTTGGGAGGAAGAAATAAAAAAGACGCTCTTTCCAAAAAAGTTATAATAAAACTGAAAAACTTCATGAAAACTTAATAAAAACATACAAATTATGGTCATTAACCTCTAACTTGGGTGTTTTAAAACTTGCCCAGAACTTTGAAATGTCTAGTTTAAGCTAAATATAAGCATAAACTAAATGGAGTGTTACCATTAGTTATATATATATAACTAATAATAAGTATATGTAAGTATGGGCCCTGATAAAAATAAAACTACTGATTAAATTAAAACCATGATAAGTTTGAGAGCCTTTAAACATAGCAAATTCAGTAACATAAATAAGTAAAAAACTATACAATTAATTGTCTTTAGAATTAGATTTCCCAAATTATCATAAAAATGTCTTTGCATACTGATATAAGTAGCCTGATATATATCTAAACATGTCTGTTAATGGTTTGTAACTTTAACCATGTCCATGCTTTTACATGGAATATGTAGGGTCTACCTTTAGGCATCTCTAACTGTCTAAATCTGAAAAAATACCAACCATTTCACAACCTGTATTAACAGTTCATAATACAGTTATCAAATCCACCCATTTTTAACAAGATAATAAGCAGAGCTCAAAATCAATTAATTCAGGATATTTGACTTTAAAAGTTACATTGACTTTTAATACACAACTAGGGCTAAAAATGTCATGTGACCAAGTGGAGAAAACAAAGCAATAAAATAGTGTTAGCTTTTATGACATTGGAGTAACATTTACCATTATGTAAGATCAAGACTAAATATTATAATCTGACTAGGATTGTAAGTAAAGTCAGTTTGATTTGTATGCGAGTTTGAGCATTGACCTAAAGGTCAACTTAAGCTTTAAATGCAAAAAAAGTTTCTCAAATGACAGTCTGTCAAATACAGATGATCTTTCAGCAACTATGACTAATCCTGAGTTATTTTATACTTCAACTGTTTAAGAAACATTTTAAAAGATGATATTCTCTCAAAAAATTACACAAACAGTTGGCTACACATTTATTGTGAAATATCTAAGTTTAACTTAAGGTAATTCAGATAAAACAGAAATATTAATTTCCTCTTAAAATATTGTTTGTTTGTCTTATAAATTTTCATGTAGAGCTATATACACAAAGGCTATCTAGACAAAGCTGTGTATAATTTTAAACCCACTACGAACTTCGGGTGACCTAAAATTGGGAATTGACTATCACTCTTATGGCACACCCACAACCCCAAAGTATAGAATATGCTCCTGGAGCAATAGGATTCCAACCACTTTTATATTGTTAATACCTGTATGATCATTACCCCATCATTACTCATATTATAACTTTGTAAACAAAATTCAGAAACTAAATTTAAAGTTAGTAATAGAACTAAAAATCTAAAAAAAAAAATATTTTTTTTAATACCTGACTAATTTTACAGGAACAATATTTCACAGATAAATATAAGCCACTTACCTTACCAAAATGGCCTCTTCCTAAGACACTGATCAACTCAAAACTGCTTAATGAGAAACCTGATGATGCTTGAACACTGTACATAAAGAAATGTGTTAGTGTAAAATTCATTACTAGTTTTGATATATAACTGTTACTTGTAGCACCAATATCATTTTGACTGACCAGAAAGATCCACAGAATTATAAGAAACTAAAAAGTACAAGTTCAAATGTTAATATTTCATAATTTTTTTCAAAATCACTGCATTAAAACACCAGAAACATTACACTTTACAGAAAAATTGTTGAAAACACAGTATAACTATTCAAAAACAGCAACAAGAAAAAAAAAAAGGAGATTAAGCCAAGGTAGGATGAGTACATAAATGAAAAATGAGCATTATAACCACCGATTGCTATCTTATATACAAGTTCAACCCAATTATTTTACTAATCTAGGAAAGTGTAATATAACAATATTCTGGGATGCTTCAAGTAACCATAAATAAGGCACTATTAAAACCAGTTAAAAATATTCACTAGAAAACTAGGCTATGTTTTCTCTAAGTTTCCCGTTTGACAGCATAAATAGAGCATTGTTTTGCTGTGCTAATAAGACATGTAGATAAATAGCTCAATTTTACTGTAATGAAACCATTTCAGCAGTAAGCACAAGCAGTGTATTAAAATAAAATGACCTAATTTTTATAATTCTTTTTTACCACAGATGGAAAAAAATTACAGGTAATCTACTGAATATTAAACATGTTTTCTTTGGTGTAAATGTTACCAAAAAAAAATGGACTTTAGTGAAGACAGGGCAAAGATATTCAATATTAATAACAAAAATGCCAGATAGTAAAGATATTCATCACAAAAATCTCTGATCATAGAACAGAGCAGTCTTTAGGAAGATCATGGAAAATTTTCTGATCAAACAAAGCTTACCGATTTCACGTAAACACCTAACTCTAAACAACTTCAATTCTTTTCAACTTTCTTTACTTCAGCTACAAGAAGTCTACTAACTATGTTAGTCATTTGTAAATACTAGTTTTTATAAGTTCTTTTCCTTCTCTGTTTTTAAGCAGTTTATTTTTTGATTTGAATAAGCAAAGATACTATTTGTTAATTTGACATTATAGTACACAATCTTAAAATGTGTTATTGCATACTGCTGATACTACAATCTATTCATTTGAAGGTTAAATGTTTTGCTGTGGTGCTTCTTCTTAATTAGATTCCACTTCCACCTGATCAACCAACAATTGTTTTTTTATATCAATATTCAATCTAAGAGTCAAAATAATAAAACTAAAATATCAATGGCTTATCAACTAATAGAAGGTCACTTTAAACGTTACCTTTCACTGGGTACATGAATTTTTTGAAAAGAGAGTTGATTAGCTGGTTCATAGTCATCATCAGCTAGTTCAATAACAGGTTCTGGGGTGGGAGAATGCCTTACATGTACTTCTGGCTCTTGTACTTCTTTTGAACCTACAACTTCCAAATCTTTTGAGGTAGCTGAAGATACTTCATTTGTCAAGAAATCAAACTGACCTAAAGCAGCCTGTTCAACAAAATTGCAATTACATGTGTATTACAAAATCTCTTACTGTACATTTCTTCATTAACAAGAACAAGAGTTAATCAAAATAATAAATATATGTTTTTTCTCATGGTTATTTTGTTACGATTACTCTTGATTCATTTCACTTATTAATAAAGCCAAATATTTCTACTCTAGGATGCATTTTAATAAAAAGGCCTAGTAAAACACATACAAAGAAATATACTGACATAGCCTTACACTTCCTATGATGAGCATAAAGAATTTGAATTGTAGAACTGATCTTGATCTTAATCACTTAAGTCATTTTCATACCAAATCTTTTATCTCATCTCAGAATAAAAGTGCAGAAATATCAATGTATTCTTTTTACCTGTCTCCAAAGATACCTGTTGCATAACAAATTATTACCTTAACTTCTGTCTCGAGTGACATGTTTAAATGAGGTGTCTGAGGTGCTGATGATAATTTGTAATCCACTTTGTCAGTGCCATCCTCTTCTGATCTGTAGTTAAAGTCTAACTTCCTTACTGCTCCATCACTAGGAGCTGGAGACATTGTCAGTGCTATTAAAAAAATATTTTCAAATTACCAGAAAGTGAAAGTTTGGAAAATAGCAGCTTAATAACAGCTGCAGTTTTGATGATAATAACAAATTGTATTTTTCTGATAAAGTTTTAATGCATTCTATTTTAAAATTTAATTATTATTTTAAAATCATAAAAAAACAACAAAAATCATTCATTTTCTTCACCTTTTCAAACACTACCTTACAATTTGTTAGAAGCTGAAAATACCATAAAATAATCTGATAATACAAAAATTGTTTTCAAAACATATTTTACAGATTAAAAAAGATATTCTTCAGTCTAAAAGAAACATATAATAAAGATTATGTATTATTAAAAAGAACAAGTTTTAGATTAGTGAAAATTTTGTAATTTTAAGACATTCAAGACTTAAGCAGTTTTCAACAATTTACTGAATTATTTACATCAGCTTTAACTGTCTTTAAACTATTATATAAAATTGAAAACTTTGCTTTCCATAAAACATCTTACACAAAGGATGAAGTAGTTCTTTGTTACATAACTTTTGTTCTAGATCTATTCAGTCCTCATAAAATTAAATTAAACCTGAAATACTATATATACAATAGCATCAGACGGAACTAAGAAAACATGAAGCAGGTTTTGTACATAGAAAAAAAAAATCGATAAATTACTCAACCTTTGTGCCCCTAAATTTTATACCTAAAGTTAACTCATAAATGACAAATAAATCAAAGTTAATTAAAGAAAACTATACCAGAGGGTACTGTATTATTAGTAGGTGGGCTGACAGTAGAAGACTGTTCTGAGCATGCTTGCGGCATGGCTCGTTTCATCAATCTTCCCCAAGTTGCAACATTAATATTCATCTGTCCAGGCCGCAAGAAGTTCTTTCCTGAAATAAATTAAAAGAGTTATTTATCTATCATGTCTGATAAATATACATAAAAATTAATCCAATATAGTGCTTTAATATTCTATGACAAATAGATGGTAATATTCATGAATTTTGTTTTACTGATAATAATACTAAAAGTTTAATAGTACATATATATATATTTTAATGTGGTCCTAATTCTGTAAACATTTACTTTTCATAATTCATTGTTAATAAATTAACACCTTCCTAAAAATACTGTTTTATATAATTAAGAAGACAACAACATTCTTTTGTAAAGTCTTACCTTTATGCTTGAACAGTTTTCGTTGACGTTGAAGTTTAGGTTTTCTTGAAATCATTGGGTTCAGGAACTTCACCTATAAATAATAAATATCATAAAAATAGTTACGATGTACTTCTAACTAACTGTCATACATAACTCATAATGAATTAAGGAAAATTAAAATAGGCATGGGTACTATAATAGAATAAACTTGTAGTTAAATCACTAACTTACACAGATACAAATTAAACAAATCAAAAAGGAAGCTGTACCTGGCAAGTAGTTTCTTTAATATAAAATAATTACCAAGACTACATGCTTTTTAGGAACAGTATGATGGTAATGACTGCCAATAAGGTGGTTTAATTTCTCAAATCTGTTTAATCAAGGTATCTGTAAGTCTGATTCGGCATTAGTTTAGTAACTAAAGGTTTTTGGTGATTATTTTAATAACAGTTTGTGTGAAAATAAAAATATACACTCATTCAGTTATAGCAATTATAGAACACTGCAACAGGTACAGCATTTTTTTTTCCCAGTTTTATATTACTTTTAAATCAGATTACACAGATAACAGACTATATACAAACTTCTGTTGCAACAAACTTACTGACATTGTTCTAAAAACACAAACAATGTTTCAAAAGAGAAAAAAAGAAACAAGTATTAATTTCAACCAACTAAAAACAGGCAAGTATTTATTTAATGGTGAGTTGCATTTGTTCCATTTCACATGAAAAACCAGTCATAATACAATTAGAATCACAAGCTTATGGAAAAGCATATAAAAAACAACTTTAAATATCTTTTAAGAACATGTTCTGAAAACTGAATTTGCCAAATTTGGCTCAGCAGCCTGAAATGTCAGAAGATTAATATTTACCTTGTCTGTGGCTACAGAAGCAACTTACTTAGAATTTAACAGAAAATGGATTTAGAATATACAAGATACTAATCTACAAATCTAAAAATTGAGCTTCAGAAAGTTATCATTATGGTTTTAGTCTGGAAACAGGGATTGCTTTGTGCATATTGAATCTTAATTTCCATATTTTATGGTATGAGAAGACAAATGCTAGATGGGAAATAGCCATTTATTTACAAACTGTATTCCTAAATATGCCTAGTAAAGGCTATATATATATATATACCTGCAACATTATCATAGTAAAGCTTAACATCAATATTAATTCTGAGTACACTGACACTAAACTATAGCACTGAATTGTAAAATATTTAGTGTTAAAGTTTGAGACTAGGGATTGCTTTGCTCATATATAATTTTCATTTATAGATAATTTCTATATTATGAAGAAAACAATTACCAAAGAGTATGATTTTTATTTCTCCTCATTTAATATTACCCAGCATAATTTACATTTAAAGTACTTTTATAGATTTCATCTAAAATTTTGGTTGTTCAGACTGTTGAATGGGTATAAGACAAAAAAGCCTTGTCAATAACAGCTCAATAACAAATTTTAATCAAATGCTAATAATGATTTCTAAAAACTTGCACTGAAGAAGAAAATAACAAGATGGAATCTTCAACATCCACAGCTGTAATTAGATCTCAGATCGGACAAGAGATGGAGCTATGAGCTATTGTTAGAACAAGTCAGTCTTATAAAGAAAGGAGTAAATTAAAACCTTATCTTTCTATTGATTATAAATTACCCTAAAGCAAATGTCAGAGAGAATAACTGACATTTTTTTTGAAAGACAAGATGTTATAGTACAGCATGGCACATGGGTTTGACTTTCTAGTTTATATCTCAGTAAAGCAATAAGACTGGACATTGTAAAGTTAGATTATTTCTTACCAGTATCTCTACTATAAATATATAACTTATGTTAAACTCAGGACACATATAGGCATAGTAAGAATATTTAAAATGGATAATTTGGAGTAAAAAGTGATGTGATACAGATGTGAAGACTGAAAATTTACTTAAATATTTCTCCATGAAATCAAGAATTAAAATGTATAAAAATCGGATTTAATAACTACGTTTCGATGCCAAGTTTATTAACATCTATTGATAATACGATTTTTAAATGAATTCTGAATGTAACACCGTAAAAAGTTGTAACATGCGCAATTTGACCCTACCTGATGTTAAAAGGTTAAATAAAACTTTTCATATCTCATAAAAAAAATATATATCTCATCTTTGTTCCATCAGTCTTAATTTACTTAGTGTATTAAAATTTTTGTTTCAGCGAAATTGTGAGACTGCATGATGTGTAAATAGCTCAGTCATGTGGTTTTATATGCAAAAAATGTGAATTGTAAAATACAGTATATAAAAGTAGGTTTTAAAAATATTACATTATATTTTATATAATATGTGTTTAAAATCTAGTGTATTGAAACCATCAAGATAACCTGAAACATTCAACTTCCTGTCAAAATTGAAGAAAATAGCTCATTGACTTTGCAAGATTCCTTAATATATATATATTGGATTCAAATTTAAGAACAAAATTTAATAAGTTCATTTTTGTACAATTTATCTGATTTACAAAATAAATTTCCAAGTTATAAGTTACGAAACTACCTCTGCAAAAAGCAAACCCTTTGGTTCAAGGTGCAGGGCCATTCCACTTCGATTATCATCTACAAAATCTTCCAACCGGAGAAATTTTATAGCACACATGGATCGCCAGTCCTTCCAATACACCTGGATTTCTAGCTCTCTTGACTAACAGGGGATATAAGAATAAACATAACTAACTACTGCAAAAAGTGGTTTATAAACAAGAATACCCAACAAGTTTGTAACTCTTTTATTATAAGGAATCCCTCTATATAAATGAAGAAATTATTGTTATAGGATTGTAAAAAAAATGAAAGAAAACAAAATTTCCTTGTATTATAAGTCTGCAAGTTCTAATTTGGCTTTTTAAGTACATAAAGTTATAAAGCAATTTACAGCCATTTGTTTTCACCCACCCACCCAAATTGCCCACTTTGCTTATCTATTGTGTGTTTTCAGAAGTACAATGCCAAAAAAATCATTTTAAGGATCAGATATCTATACTAAAACTAGAACATGGTTTCTATACATTAACCGTATTTGTGATGAAGGCTAGAGTAAAATTTTTACACATAATGTTTTACAAACATATATAAACCTCCAGTGAAAAGCATGGTTGAAGACACTTTAATACTATTTTATAATAACTTATGACATTATTCCATGGAGGGTTGAATAACATTTTAACTTATCACAATATTAACCCCATTTTACAGTAAATAACAGTTTCATAAATCTCGGAGACTGTGGAGTCCCCTAAAAATTACCATATTAACATGATTACCATTTTAAATTACATAATTTCAAAATGATATTGTAGTTCAGTGTATGGGAAAAGCATTACATAAACTAGTATTTTATTTACTAGTAGCTAGATTTGTAGTATCAGTCAAATTTTCTATTCTATTCAGAATGTTAATTGTTTTCTTCGGCATAAAGGTATTCAGCAGAATATGTATTGTAAAGTCAATATCTATTATTAAAAAAATATTGTAATGTTTAATCAGAAAATTGTTATCCTTCTAAACTAACAGTTTGCCAAGCAAAGAAGTCTGTGGGTTTATGAACAAAAATAAAACTTTTCCTTTTTTTTGTTTTTTGCATATACAGTTAAGTAATCATGCCCAATATACAAGTTAGTGTCCTGTTAAAGAAATAGATAACACATAAAATGGCTGCAGCAAGGAAAATTAAAGCTAATCACTGATGTGTCATAATTTAAAGGTGCAATAATCAGAAAACATTGATATAGCAGTCTAGCAATATTTGAGCATAAATAGTCCTTAAAACAATATAAACAGTGATACTTTGATGTTAATTTCATTCGTCTATGTTCTCATATGTGAATCTCAATATCTCTCAGCTTACAATTTTGTCAAATCTCTATAGTTTATTCCTGAAGAGCTTTGAATGAAAAGTGTTGAAGTCTACTGGCATCCTTTTTTAATTGTATGAAATTTTCTGTCGTTGTATTTTCATTTTTATGTTCCACTTTTGTTTAGTAAAAGGATTCTAAATCTATTTTGGGTGAATATAACCTCATAGATCAATGTTTTAAAACTATGAGCATGAGATTGTTTTTGAAAAGGCTAAATTGCATCACAAATAGAAAAACTGGAACTGAAACATGCATATATATTTAAAAGACTGAAATAAGAACTTTGAAAAAATTTTCTAAAGCAGGGCCATAGCCTGAAATTTCACTTCTGGCCAGCTGGATGAGTCAGAAGGGTCCAGAAGTCTTTCTCGGGAATATTTTTTTCTTTATAATAATAATAATAAAAAATAATTTTCAAGTTATTAAAAATATGATTTACATGAAGCAAAATAATTTTTAAAGACTTTTCATGAAACAACTTAGGTAAAGAATCAACTAAAAGTATGCAATGAAAGTCAGGAGTGGGTAGGTCCATATGTATGTATGTATTTTTTGCAGTCACAAAATGACTAAAACACTTAATACCAACCATTAATACTATGAATGTATTAAATAAAACATACCCTATCCAATTCAATGCTAAATCTTTGATCCCATGCTTGCTGACTACAAAGTTTCCATGCTGTCTGACCAACAGTAACATTATCCAACTTTAAAACAGCCATTATTTCATCTAGAAATAGGGAAAATAAGGATAATTTTTTTTGCAAGTTTCTTTTAAAAATACCAAAATGTTGTTTCAAATTAACATTTTATCCTATGTATCATGGTTTTATTCAAGCTTATTGGTATTATATTGAAGTCTAATACAGTAATAAATAAATAACATTAAGCAACTAAGCTTCAAAGGCTTTGAGCATAAGCTCCGTCTTTAGCTTAATGTTTTAGTTTATTTTCAATTTTTGCCCAGTGGTTTGGCAGGCTGGTTGGAGCTGCCTTGTGGGCCAAATGGTGGGCAGCCAGTTGGGCAAACCAATTTTGGAATTCACTTTGTGATTAATCTCTATACTTTAATAATAAAGGACAGCACTGAAGACGAAAACCTTTAATTTATTCTAAATCACATTTTACAAATTAACGAGCAGGTACTTTTCTTCACTTATAAAATAAAGAGGCAAATATTTCTATACTTTCAAACACATAAAGAGAGAAAATATAAAAATCACAGAAACAAGTACTTGTTTTATATTTAATGTTTGCTGTAGCAACTACTATACAAGCAGAAAAATTTTGAACAAATAAATGTTCAGGATCAATACCTCATCATTTTTGCATCAGATATAACTGCCAATAGCAAGTGACAAACAGTTCTTTATCGGTAGTGGAAGCATATATGATTGAGAAATTTTTATCAAAAACCTGCACCAACAGAAGCTTAAAGTACTGTGATATGGTTTACAGCTATTTAGGTAATAGCTGAATGGTTATAGATTAATCCACTTGATTCCAATGACTGAAAATTATGTTCTAAAATATTTTCTACATGGTTTATACATTAATAGATGTATACCAATTGTTGCTGGGAATATGCTAATAGGAGAGGACTTACTTAAAATATCCAGGATAAAACAAAGAAAAAATGCAAAAACTGCCCGAAAACGTTTTAAGGCATTGTGAAGAAATAATTACAAAAAACAACTAAAAACTGAAACAATTATAAAAAATAAAGAAAAACTAACGAGTGATGGAAAGAAGAAAAAAAAAGATCCTAGCTATTGAACATACCTAGTCTCTCCCTTATGGGTGAAATTACAGGTAAAGTGAATAAGTAATTATTGCAGGTGGCACCAAAAAACAAAGGGAATTTTGGTTTGAGCTTTACATTCAGGTGTAACATTTGTTTTGAAAGTATAGATAAGTGCTATTTTTAGTCTAATTTTAAAGTTAGTAACTGCAGAGAAAAAAGGGTTGAATAACTGATCCATCTGATTAAAAAATGAAAAACGTTTTCTTAAACATTTCTGCAAATAAATTTGTAGGTGAAGAATTAGTTAGCCAATGAATGGTATATGTACTTGAAGTTTCTTCCTTGATACTATACGACCTGGAAGAGCTTCGACCAGTAAGACCTTTTCCTGTGGCTCGAACCAAGCTACGAATATCTCCTGGGCTTGATATTCCATGAGAGCTATGATCCCTACGAGGTAGACGTCCAGGTACATCTTCTAGTAAGTCTTGACAACCCATCAGTCTGCAAGAAATTATTTTTAATTTTCTAGCAATTCCTACAAAGTGCTCAAATAATACAACAAGCATTAATACTTTACAAGAAACATTAACTTTTTTAGAAAAATAATTGAGTTCAATAACATTGTGCCTTGTATAAGGAAAGTATAACATATTAATCAGATAACTATGTCCATTTATTTATTTTTACTATTTCAGTTAAAACTGTGTGTAAAAACAACAAAAACTATTGTATACAGAATTAGAACTAAATAATATAATCACACAACATATTAAATATACCACATATAACCACTTTGCTATTATTTTATTATTAACTGATTTTTCTGGTGAGCAGTTTTTATGCATACTTTATCATTACATTCAACATGTTATGAACAAATTTCATTATTTGTGTTCTCTGATATTTGTATGAAGTTTTTTTATCATCATGATGTTTCAAGTTTGAACTTCGCTGATCTTGATAAAATTTAGAAGGCTATTAGGCCCAGATACGAGGAGCAATTGTACAAACTTTCACATTTATAACTCAAACTTTAACAACGATATGCAATACTAAAGGCAGTAGTAGTGGGGATAAATTAAAAAAAGTCTTTATTACAGTTCAAGTCAAATGTACACTCAACAGTTTGTTAGATTTGACTTTCCATTCCATCAAAAGAATATCATTTAGTTTTTCTGCACCAGCTTCTGATCCTTATTTTGTCATAGGATCTTTCTAATTTTGCACAAAATATATTTTAAAGAATAGATTTAATGATGAAAGCATATGACCATAGGATAATTTCAAAAATCTTTAGAAGATACATCGTTCTTGTACGTGAAACTGAAAAACTACCTCAACTTTGGATGTGATTTTTTAAGGATACAGGAAAAGTAATATGAGGCTAATGTTTTACTGAATGATATATATATCTTTGGCATAAAACTGATACAGCTTCATTAGCTTTTCACCACTTAGTCTGTAAAGGAAAAATACTAAGAAAATAACTGCAAGTGACTAAATACTATAAATTCAGATTTACTTATTTACATGCAGAGTTCCAAATATGTGACAGAAGATTAATAATGTCTGAAATTCTGCTTGACAGAAGCAGAAAAATAAAAACAAATGTGGAATTTTTCAGCTTTAATCTTTTTTTTTTTTACTAAAAACATTTGTATAGTTACACAAGACCAAAACTTTTCGGTAGCAATTTTTTAAAAAACTAATTAAAATCCCAGTGATACAAAAACATTTTGAAAACAAAATTTTTTTTTCTAATACCTACGTTTTATTCATACTACAGGAATTTCACTGCAAAACAATATTCAGTATAGACATATAAGCTCCAGACTTTTTTAAAGCTTAGAATGAAAAGAATTGTATACTTCTTTTATCACTTTTCAATCAACTTTTCCCACATCTAAAGGTTTTAGAAATTTAAATGTTCTTTAAAAAAAGACATTAAAATTTTTCTGTGCTTTTAAAAGTTACTATTTTAATTTGACATGCACTAAGACATGTGAAAAAATAATGTTTATGTTACCTTCCAGAGTTCTTACTGTGGCATTTTTTTTTGCTGGTTTTTGATGAAAATTATCAAAATCGGTAGTTTTAACCAAACCAGCAAAATTTGAAAAAAGATCACTTCTGTTAAATAAAAAGCTACTAAAAATAACATTACAATTTGGTACACTTAAGATTATTAAAAACATATGTAATGTTTTTCATATGAAGTCAATTTGATGTTCTGAAAGCATATATGCTTTTCAAAACAGTGAAAGATAGGTGGAATTTTCTGTATTCTATCTATGATAATGCACAACTACTATTATTAAATACTGTCAACATCACCACTGAATTCATTTTCATGCAAAACAAGTATCAGGTGAGTAATTAAATAATTTGATATGCAAATGTATACTAGTGAAGACCACGCTCACAAATGCTCATTGTTAATATAGATCCAGCAGCATAATAAGTGATAAGGAAGCATTTGTTAATGAGATATATGATCACCTCAGACATTAATTCAAGTAGTAGATTGATGTGGAATCCTTAAGTTGAGTAAATCATTGATAATACTGTTCACTGTTCTATCAGAGCTGCTTCCAGTTCATTGATACTTGCTTGGAAATGAATTATTTACTATACACATAATCAATAAGATTTCAATCCTACCAGTCAGCTGGCTAGTTCATTTTCACAATACTTTCTTCTTCTGTACATAGTAAAAATCAATGGTTCTAAGACTACATCGTTATGGTGTTTTGCATTCAAATGCCACGTTGTAGCATAAAACATTCACTATGGCTACTGATACTGATCTCTTCTCAGACCAGTATGCTACCATCTCCATATGCATGTCTTCCTTCTACAAAACTGGGGTTGGATCTAGCCCTGGTCACTTGTAATTACATGCTCATCCTCCCACATGTTGTTTTGTAATGATAGGTTAGAGGAATGTACACCATTAATCATCTGACAGAAATTTATTGTTCAGTTTCTGCTTTGAACATTGGTTCAGTTGGGAATCTGAGGCCTGCTGGTTGTACCAAGCCCAGATTGTTAAAAAGCATTCATCTTGCAGAGTTGCCAACAAAGATATACTATGTCTAGATTTCTGGCCAATTGTATAGGGGGATTGGAAAACCATTCTACATCCTTCTAGCCACACTTTGAAAGACTCATAACCATTCTCCAACAACAACTTACTGCATTTGACTAGCTTCTACTTGATTTTTTGCTTTCCATATGATGGAAATACCCAAATGTCTTTGTTAGGGTCTTGACATGTTTCATTATCAATCTGGGGATCTCTTTACTCACTATGCTGTTGTTCAAACTGTTAACTATTAAAAAACACTCTATGTTTCTTCATGAAATGTACACATAACATCAGATGAGCACTTACCTGACATATCTTTGAATACAATTAAACCAGAGAAGCCACTGACATTTAATAACAATAATTGTGCCTTATTACAGCCAAAATATGGAAAAATTATTCAACTATTTTGATAGATTTTCTTGACTGGAGCTTTACTCATCATTCCCTAAAGTTTTAATTTGTTGTAATGAAGGTTAGCCTTCAAGTTGAATTTACTGAAATTATAAGAACAAAGTCTCTCCAATCACAAAAATTCATATAAACTTCCAAGGCTATTAACCAAATATACTAGTCTCTAACCATGTAAGTGATAATGAGGCTATGAAAACTAAGAATCAAGTGTTGTGGATAAAAATAAATCAATATCTGAAGACAATTCAAAGAATGTAAAATAGGAATGATTTTAATTTCAATTTATTCTGTTACTAAATATAAAATTCTGATATTACTCCTACATCATTTTTACATTAATTTTAAGCAAGTTTTCTATCTATCTATCACCCATTAGAAAAAAAAATCTGGAAAACTAATAGTTCTTGAAAGGTTCACCATTTTTCTTGGCTTTGCCAGCAGAGGCAACTTATATCACTGAATTAGCAATAATAGTAATTTGTCAGACGTATAAGGTACTTTAATGTAATGTTCCACTGAATTCTCTTACCTAAACAGAAGTTGTATGGTTAGTTATATTACAGAAATATCTGGAAGAACCATGAATACATAAAAACAAATCAATGACACAGTAAGGTTTAAGTATTAGAAAGTTAAAGGTCCACTTTATTCACAAGTTTAAAGGCACGGAAGAACTATCATTATGGTCAGTATTTCACAAGAAGCCTTGAAAAACTCAGGTAAACAGAAAAAACAGTTTAACTATAAAATGGAAAAAAAATAAAGAATTATGAATATCAAGTTTAATCACTAAAGTTATACAAAGAAATATTACATTCTCCCAGCCATGCTCTACACCAGTACTCTAGGTGTTAATACGAGGGACTGAAAACTATCAAATAAAAGCCACAAATTCAAACATTTTCAAGGTTTCTAAGAAATCACATAAACCACAGAATACACAAATAACATTAATTATTAATTATACAGGATATAAATGATTAGAATGAACAATTTTTATGAATATGTGGCAACTATTTGAAGTCAAAAGCCTTGAAAGGCAGAAATGTTTCCCAATACATCATTTAAGGTAGCCATAAAATTATAAATAGTAATGATGGTTTTTATTGTTTTTTGGTGAGTGTTGTTAATTCACGGTAGCAATTATCATATATCTAGATTTTAAACTTATAATGTTAATTGCTGCATTCTTATATTAAATGTATACAACAATGTATTTTAGCAAAATTCTGAGAAGATCCTTATACATGACTATCAATGACTCTTAAACTAGTGTACTAATTTTACATACTTGGCTACATTATATTTACAACTTACCTGACTTCCAATTTGCCTGTAACTGCAGCAGGTTTGGAAAGAGAATAGGTCACACTATGCAGCGTTGGTTCTTTTATGCCATAAGGATGTATAGAAGAAGTGTACAAGGTTGGACTTGCTGACTGACTGCTTTCCAGTTCTTCTTTCAGGATGTCGGACTTAGGGGAGCCAGGTGGCCACTCTTGGCGACACTGATCCAAGGATCTCCTTATCAGATCCAGTTTGTGGCTGGACTCTAACAGGTTTGTCTGTGCCTACAGTGAAATTGTTTTAAGAGCTATTTTCAGAAATAAAAGGAATATTTTAACTTAAAACAGTACTGATATTAGCTGTACATCTCAACAAATTTAACTTGCATAACTGTGCATCAGAGTTCTATCTAAATGTAGTTACTTATTCTAAGGCCACAGCTTATAAATACTTAAGTTATATTCTGTTAACAGCTTGCATGCATTCTGAGAATCACAAGTTATATGGGACCTCAGTTTTTAAATTTACCCTTATACATTTCTCTGTATAACAGGGTTTCCCAAAGGGGTTGATGAGACTGTTAAGAGGGTGAATAAAAACCTAGGGGTTGATGGGGGGGGCTAAAAATGGCCCCTAGGATAAGTTTGGCCTATGCAACTAACTGCTCTACGGCTTTCCAAGTTCGTACACTGTCGAAGCTGGATCTAGCCAAGTGAATGGTCTTCTGAGCATACAGAGAAACAAGCTGAACATCAAAGAATGCAAGGACTTGAGACTCAGACATGCAAACCTACAGCCCAATATTCATATGCTTGTTAAAGCCAATCAATCTCATTAAGAAAAGTTAAAACCTCATTCTTTTTTATATTTTATGTTTCCTAATAACTGTATTATAATGAATAAAAGTTGATTATATATTAAAGTTTCTTGAATGTGAAGTTTCATTTATAATCTATATTCTAAGAATTTTGGGGGGGGGGGGGGGGGGGGGG